GTTGCAGCCACCCCAAAATTCACTTTAGCCCCTCATAGCCCCTCCTAGCACTGCCACCACCCACCCTGAGCACAGCCCAGCCCAGCCCCCACACTGGGAACAGGAAGGGAAGAACCCATCCCACACCCTGCCCCAGCTGAGCAGCACCTGCCCCAGGCCCACTCCCTCCCTCATCACAGGGACCTCGATCTGCCCCCCCACACACACACACCTCTTCCCTCATCCACACCAGACTTACCAGCCTGATGCTGGTCTCCAAACTGCTGGGCTACGCTCCCGGTCCCATGCACGCTGCAGCTGTACGCATGCATGGGGCATTTATTGGCCACATCAGGGGAAAAAAGCCAACGTCCAATACAGTCAATTTTCCCTGTATCAGTGTTGGTCCAATATGGGACCAATGTATCGGTGCACCTCTATTCCCTGGCTGCTTCTTTCCCCACTGTCCCGGGGTGGGGGAAGCTTCAGAGGCACTCCTGCTCACTCCAGCTGGGCTGTGCAGGAGTTGGGCTCAACTGGCACAGCAACAGCAACAGCAGCAATGGGTGTGGGGTTTGCCTGCCCTGTGCATTGTCTTGGGGGGCCAGGCATGGTAGGAGAACCCACCTCTTGCCCATCACCACTGATGTTGTCCCAGCTGAGCTTAGCCCCTGTTCAGCCCAGCTGTAGCATGCAGGAGCAGACCCTATTGTGGAAGACCCTCTACAACTTCTGAACAAAAAATGGTGCCTGTTCCAGGCGGCTTACAATTTAAGTATGACATGAGACAACAGATGCATGCCACACAGGATCAAAGAAACAATGAGGTAATCTTGGTCAACCTGAAAAGCTCGTCTTAGTATACCAGCTCTGTAACTAACCATTGTTGATTCTGTAGTCATTATGACAAAGAAGAATTTTAAGGAGTGTGTAGAAGTCTGAGGCTCTCATAGAAAAATGTGTTGCAGCCAATCCACCCAGGATTTGCTAATCCTCTTTGGTTCTCCTCTGCCATGCCTTTGGTGTTAAAGAAAACCAAAAAAGAAAAGAAATTTCAGAAGGTAGATCTTATTGGTACTCACTGCAACACAGATAGCCACCTGGCCTCTTCACAGGACTCCTCCATCCCCATACCCCATGCAATCTTACGAATTTCTGCTGATTGTCAAGTGCCTGCGGCACTGAAGACCTGAGATTCTGCTCCTGCCTTTGTCTAAGGTAATTTGCATCATCACAGCCTCGCAGGAGAGCTGAGATTCTTTACCAGCTAAGAACTGCTGTCCAGAGGGTTTTCCATCTATTGACTCCTGTGTGAAATCCTATGAAATATGAACTTTCATTTCTACCCAGGAGAACTTTTACAATCTTTTCTCTGATGCCTGATGAAGGGTGTTTGTGCCCGAAAACTTGCAATTAAAGAATTTTTTTTGCAAAAATCTTGTTGGTCTAATAAAAGATATCACCTCTGTCCACAAGGCCTGAGTGCGGCATTGAAAGTACTCTTTAATTGGATTGACCTCCTCACAGGTCCCCAATTCTGGTCTGTCCTTAACCCTACTCTCCACTTGTGATTTCAGAGTACATTCCTTCTCTGAACCCACTCATGTTTATCACACACAGTCCTCAGTCAATTAAGCACCGGAGTTCCAGTGCTACTCCACATGAACCTATAGGGGACTAATCACAAACCATAGCCAGCCTAACGCAGTCCCCTTGGCTCAGTCCCCATATTGTGTCCCTGTTGCAGGGGAAAACCCTGTCTTCTCAGGCAGAAACCCTCGGTCAACTCTGCTTCTTCTTCCCCTTCTAGGTAATGCTCACAAAACGCCACACCCACTGGACTGGATCCCTGCTGGTCCTGTATGATACTCTCGCACCAGACCTCACCTCAGGTAAGAATCACCACTTTCAGTTCTCCTTGAGACGAACCGCTGACCCCTGACTGGGGTCAGGTAATCACTACACCTCTGTGCAGCTGCATAAGTCTCGGCTCCTGCTGGTTTGCCCTCTCTGGTTAAAGCAACTCACCTGATCCACAGGCCTTTTACTTTCAAGTCAGCCACCAGAGCCTATCAAGGTCCTGTCAGCC